ATCATGAATATATTTTCAGTCATGCTGATAAATGTCAAAATGGCCTCCTAAAAAATGTAAACATTTCTAGATATAGAAAACTTAATTCTTGCTAGTATAATTCTCAAATTCAGTTTCTGCTACAAAAATGTAATTTAGAAAACAGATCTTTCTAATTCAGTCTAGGAGTGTGATTTTGATCAGGAAGAATCTTATTTTAGTGATCTACATATGGAACAACAGAGAGGAGAGTGCTTTTAATAAATATAAAAAGACAGCATGAAAAGTCAGCTGAGTACAAAACATAGAGAGGAAAACAAGAAGAAAAGGGACAAGAAGAGAGGGACACAACCTAGAACAGATAATGGATGTCTATTCTATTAACATTTCTCTATAATGGATCTGTTTTATGTGCTGTCTTCTCCATTCAGAGGGGCCCCTGCCTGTCTTTGCCTAGGGCCACAAATTTCCTAAATCAGCCCCTGCCAGAACTTACTGCCTAGAATATAAAAAAACAATAAAGAAATGATAAATAACTATTTTTTGGTAAAAGCTTGTAAACTAAATCAGGAGCTACTGCTGTGCATCATAACCTGACTGAAGCGTCTCCATGCTCCAGGCCCCGTGCAGGAAGGCGTGAACAGCCGCGCCATGAGGGAGATGTTCAGGAGCTACGTGGAAATGCTGGTGAGCACAGCACTCGACCCTGACATGATCCAAGCTCTGGAGGACACCGATGGTAAGTCTCCCAGTGACCAGGACAGGGGGACTCATAGTTCCTCAGCGTCCATCATCAGGACGCTGAGGAACTTCATCCATCTCATTGTTTCATTGGTGAGTTAAACTAGAGGACATATGAATGTTTTTAAGGAATCAGCATCGGTTCAACAACTTTTCATCTATTGCCATTTCAGAGCCATTTCCAAACACGTCATCCTTCCAGAGAATTTGATCACATGATCCAGAGGGATGGTTAAAGCTAGGGGGGACAGCTGCTGTCCTCAGGGGCCGCTTTCCTTTAGGATCCAACCGCCTGAATAAAATGACTGAACTACCTCCTCAGGGTGCAGGAGATTCCTCCAGTCCTCACTGTTGGATTCCGCTGTGTTGAACCAAGGACACATCTAGAGCCTCAGGATATCAGCCCTGAGTTTGGTCCTGGAGGATCCAGGAGACGGACGCTCCTGGGTTCAGGAATGTTCTGAGGAAAACCAGCTGATTGCAGCAGATGCCAACTAAATGATCTCAGGTGGAACGTTTCATGGTCAGAGGAGACCCCAATGCTGAGAGTTAGGATGGGTCGGATCAGCTCTGCCCTTAGTGTGGAGGGACAAGGGAAGGCGGAGGAGCACGGCCTCCATGTTCTACAGCTTCACCTCAGATCTAAGGCTGATAACTTTCAGCAGGTCATGAATGGAGGAAGCTGGCTAACATGGAACTCACATATCCATCCATAATCATCCCAGAAAACATCTGTTTCCATGTTTAGGTCTGTATGTAGAATGTCTAACCTGTGCAGATTAGAACTGCTGCTCCATGTTAATGACGTCATAGATCCTGGAAGTTGTTGTTAGTCTAGCTTTGCAGAGGTTTGACTGAAAGGTTTCTTCTTCTCTCACGGCTCAGATGAGCTCTACCTTCCTCCCATGAGGAAGATCGACAGCTTGCTGAACGACCAGAAGAAGCTGCTGTTAAGAAGAATCAGCATGAGCGCACAGCATCAGGTACATCCTCACATTCTTCTTCTGTGGTTCTCTTACTTGCTTAGCTGACCCCCCCCCCCCCCTTTCTTCCAGGAGGCTCTGCACACGTATCCCAACATGACAGCCGACCCTCTGGAGTCTGGAGCAGTGTGGGTCCATCTGGGCGGGGAGGGTTACAGCCGTAAGACCCTCAGTCGGGTCAAGAAGAGTGTTGCTAAGCAACAGGTGAGAAGGTGATGCTGGGTTCCAGGTTTATGTCCAACCCTGACAGCAGAAGCTCAGATCGGATCTGTTTATAAATGAATCATGCTTGCATATCTGGATCTTTGGTCTGATTTTAGTTCACATGCAGAATGTTGGCCAATGGAAATAAACCCGAAGTCCTTTATCTGTCTACATCACGCTGAGGTCAGAGCTAACAGCCGGACCTCAGCTATGCTAGTGCAGTTTGGGTCAGATGGTTCTTGTGTTTCCATTGATCTAAAGCGGCAGCATGCAGCAGCATATCACAGCATTCTGGACCGTGGAGCATATCGACCAT